CCCAACTCTCCATAGGTACTATACCTGCTAATTACCCACAATGCCACAGTCATTATTTTCCCATCTCTGCTGCTAATTTGCTCCATACCTTCCTTTCCCCCACTCTAGCAGACCCATCAGCTCCCAGACAGCTTCTAGCTAACTTCAGCTCTCTGTCTGCCTTAAAAGAGGGTAAGGAAAGAAACAAAGACGGAAAGGGAAAAGAAAAAAAGGAGATTGCGAAGGAGTACGCGTCCCAGTCATTGATTAGAATGCAATTGCTAACAGGTGTCGTTGGAGTCCACTTTTTAATTGTGTGCGCAGAGGCATGTACGCAATCACAAACACACACAAACACAAGCTAACTTACTCTAATAACCTCTTTGCTAATACCAAACATGTAATTATGTACATTGCTTATTTAATATTTAATCATTAGGCCAAATTAAAACAATCCTGCTCCGTGCTGATCAGGATATATTAAATAGTGTAATGACTTTGAACGCAGGTGGGTTTACGCAGTGTGTGGTCTGATAGCAGGAGAGGGGACTGAGATGTTGAAAGAGATTGGTCAGCCAGTCAGTTTGTGTGTGAGAAAGCGCCTGTGTAAGTAATTTGTTTCTACCTCTTCCTTTGCGGGAAGGAACTCTCTGATAATAATGTTGTGTGATGTGTGTTTTCAATACTTCAGCTCTCACTCTAACACTTTGAAACAGTTATTTACATTTTTGCAAGATTGAAACCAGCATTGCCCAGACAAAACAGTCCAAACTCAATAAAGTTGTTTAGGGATCCCGTGACACTGTCCTGACACTTTTGGCTCCCAATGAAAAGTTTCTGAGTGTAAAAAGTATAATGGCTCTTATCCACTAGATTCCTTCCGGTCCACACTGCTCAACATCTCCCAACTTGCAATTCCAGCTTCCTCAGAAGTTTTTCTGAAGTCCTGTGTGTTTTGGATGACTGAGGAGGAGGAGCAGAAGGGAGGAGCAGGGAGGTCTGAAGTGGTTGTTTGTCAGAGTGTGTTGATGTTGTTAGATTCATTGTTTCCTGTGTTGGTCAGACGCTGGGTTTGTGTTGGCGTTGGGGCTGTTATTCTGGCTTCAGTGCACTCTTCTCCTCTGCTCTCCTCTCCCTGCTACTCATTACAATGAATAAACACAGGGCAAGTATTGGACCGGACAACTTTTAAGGAAACAAGAGAGAGTGTGTGTGTGCATGGAATTATGTGTGGCTTTGGAATGGACTGAGTTATTATTGTATAAGTAATGGAAAGAGCTAAATTGAACAAATTCTTGAAACTAGACAATTGGAAGGCAAACAAATTCAACAAAGGAGTAACAGTTGGAACCACTTACTGGCTAAAAGTGGGGTAGATAACATGCACAATGTTGTGTAGCAGGTTGTCTAACAGTTCTAATAGTGACGTAAGTTATAATACATAATCAGAGTTCTGTTGATTGGGTAGCAACTAAAACATTTTGGTTCGTTGCTGTGTGTGTGTATGTGTGTGTATATATATATTTATATGATATAAATATATATATCACATCTCACAAGCTGTGTGATGAAAGTATTTACAGAAGATTTTACTATGCGGGCTGTTTGCGATGGAGTTTATGATGACTGACAGTAAATGCACATTAGTTATGTTTGCATGTACGGAGGTGTGTGTCTGTGTGTGTCTTTGTGTGTCTGTGTTTGTGTGTGTGCGTGCGTGCGTGTGTGCAACATGTTCTTGAATTCCAAGTCCAGAGCCGAGAGAACCTGTCAAAGTTCCCCCATACATAGACTGCTGTCTCTTTCTGTTAGACACACACAGATATACCCTTCATAATGTGTGTCTCTCTCTCTCTCCTCTCTCTCTTCTCTCATCTCTCTCTTTCTCTTTTCTCTCCTCTCTTTCTCTCTCTGTCCCTCTTTCTCTCTCTCTCTCTTCTCTTTCTCTCTCTTCTCTCTCTTTCTTCTCTCTCTCTTTCTCTTCTCTCGTCTCTCTTCTCTCTTCTCTCTCTCTTTTCTTCTTTCTCTCTCTCTCTTTTCTCTCCTCTTTTCTTTCTCTCTCCTCCTCTCTCTTCTCCGTCTCTCTCTCTTTCTCTGTCTCTCTCTGTCTGTCTTTCTCTTCCTCTCTCTATCTTATCTATTCCTTTTCTCTCTTCTATCTCTCTCTCTTTCTCTCATCTCTCTCTCTTTATTCTCTCTCATCTTTTCTCTCCCTCTCTCTTCTTCCCTCTTTCCTCTCTTCTATTTTCTTTCTCTCTTCTTTCTTCTCTCTTTCTTTCCTCTCTTCTCTCTCTCTCTCTCTCTCTCTCTCTCTGCTCTCTCTTTCTCTGTCTCTCTCTGTCTGTCTTTTCTCTTTCCTCTCTCTATCTATCTATTTCCTTTTCTCTAGCGCTCTCCGCCATTTTTATTTCCCTTTGACAATAGTTAGCTGTCAGCATCTGGAGACGGCCTGGTCCTGAGACTGTCTAGGGTGCAGATTCGTATTTTATATTCTCTGAGGGGACAGTATGGATCACTATATATTCGGTAAACACACACACACAAACACACACAATCAGTACAATCCCAAATTGTCCCTTGACAGTCTGGCTGAAGGATGTTGGCAACATGTGTGCAGTGGGATGCTATACTGACAGGCTGGCAGATGCACACACAACATCCACACACAACACACACACACAAACACACACACACATACAGACAAATAAACACAAACAGTGTGGGTAAAGTGTGGAAAATAAATAAATAAGCTAAGATACTGTGTGAGAGCTGGTGACAGGAAGTCGGTCTCGCAGGGTGGTGTGCTCCACTGCAGCTAATTAACCCCAGGAAATAATTGCAACAATATGCAAATGCTGTTTAGATAATTCACTACACTGCCATGCCAGGTAGTCAGTCACTCTGTTGCCTGCCGCTGAGGGTGTAGGCAAAGAATACGTGTTGTTGAAGGTGTTTGTTTGTGTGTGAGGTTGGGTGATGCAGTTAGGAGCATGTGTGTGGTCATTTACCACCATGAAGACATCAACCATTCAATGTTTCTTATTCATAGTATAGGAATACATAAACCACTCACCTGGTCTTCATGTGGACCAAAAAGTAATATTTTGTCATTTATATGTTTTGTCTGCATGGTAGTAACCAATTTTGAAAGTAGCCAAAGTAAGTAAGTAAATGTCACACACACGCACATAAACATGCTGTGTACAGTAGCAAACTTCGCCTAATGTCTCCATGTCAGGAATTGTCATTAAATGGTGGGAGGAGAGGTGGACAAAACAGGGGACGGAGAAGTGTAAAGAGTGAAACAGGTGGCATCAGCGGGGAAGAAAAATAAGGTGGAAGAGAGGGAATGAGTGATGGAAGGAGGCAGGCTAATGAAATGGGCTTCACAGATGAAGGGCGACATGGCCGAGGAGAGAGGAGGGAGACTTCAAAAGACTTTAATGTCACAGCCTTTCACACAGACAGCTCCGCTTGAGCCGGCCCCTCCGTGCACGTAGGATAACACACATACAAATGCACTCAACCACATGCACAGCACTGATGGCAGAAGGGCAGGGCAGAGTGGAGTTGCCTGCTCTTGCATCACACTCTGTGAATGGAGGTGGGTGCTGACACTACAACCCCCTCATGCTAATCTAGCAGTAAACACAAACACTCTGACAGGTTAATTTACCTCTAGACAAACATAGCAACCAAAACACACATCAGCACATCATCAAATAGTACAAGCACACACACACTTGCACACAAACTTGTACACACAGATGCGCACAAGCAGACATCTCATCAAATCACAAGCTTCCTTACTTTCTTCTAAAAGTAAAGTTTAAACCATATTTTCTGTAACATGTGTATGTGTTCTACACATCCTCCTCAATTAACACCTTTAGGAGAGCAAATGTTAAAGTAATTATCCGTCTGTGATTATATACTGTCTTACTTTGTAAAATGCAAGCGCATTTATGGAAACTAACAGGATAGTCTCTTAAGACACCTCCTCTGTCCTTTGCCTCCTATCACTAATTATTTGTTTTGGAGTCACATGGAACAGTTTGACACTCAATTAACAGATGAGTTTCCATTCTCTATAGGCCGTGTGTTTGTTTATTTCACATTTCATATTATTTTTTATATACATCTGTATGCTAATTAAGAGAAGTTTGTGTGTGTGTGTGTGTGTGTGGGTGGGTGTGTGTGTGCGTGCGTGCACGAGTGAATATCGTGTTTGCATCCACTATAGGGCGATCTTAAATACAACATTCTGTTGCGATTTAAGGATACAGGTGTTACTAGCTCCATGTGTAGTGTAAGCTCTTGTGGGAATGTATTGTTGATTTCTATTGTGAACCAGACAGTTTGATAGGAAATCAAAGTCTAGAATCAATGTCACAAGTTCATTAACGGATGCCCTTTTCTCACCTGTACTTTCACTATTGTTCTATCCGGCCCCGCATAAGCGCTTACATCTCTGGTTAATTAAACATGTCTTCTGGTAGCGTGTGTGTGTTCCTGCACGTGTGTGTATAATTGTGTGAGAGTGAGAACCTGTGTAAGGGTGTTCATTTCTATTCATTCATTTCTGTGCATGGGTGCAAAACTGTGTCTGTGTCTGTTTATTTTTTCATTTGACCTTCCCCTAGTGTCTTCCCATTATGCCTCTACTGGCGTATAGATGGGCCATCGATTCAGCAACGGGGTACAAATTAAGATTTAAACGTTACGTCACCCAGCCTATTGAGTTTTACATTTAGGGCATTTGCAATATGCAAGACTTATTGATCTACTGAAGTGTGGCTCTTTTATAGAAATCACCTCCGGCCACCATCACTTTTTTGTCTCTCTTTTATACCTCTCTTTTTGATAACTCTATTGATGCTTCTTTCTTATTGGATAGACACGTATTTTAAATGTTTTGTAATTGCATTGCAGTTTGAGCTCTACAGTTTTCAAGCTCATAAGAATTCTGTCATTCTACTTTGTTATGAATGTAACATTAGAGTTGCTTTTTTGTGTTGCAGGAAAATGGTTCCTCTGAGGAACACGTGCTGTACGTGTGGGACCACTTTGTGTCCAAAGCCGCAGCCAAGAATGTCTTCATCATGGCCCACAGCTATGGAGGGCTGTCTTTCGTTGAGCTGGTGAGTGTTTTAGTTTTCCGCTTATCCTTCCTACCTCCCACTGACAGAAAGACACACTGAGGCACACAATACTCTCCTGTCAGCACAATCACTCATTCATGTTCATGTTGTAAAACCTGCATATTCCAACTCTTTTACAAAGTAAAATTCAAGCAAAGCTACAGTACATACTTCCATACACCCATACATGCACACAAACATAAACAAAAGATACATATTCTCAAATAAACCGACACATATACAAACATGCAGAGCAGTACTAGCATCGGTCACCTTAGGGAGACAGGCAGAGTGATAGTGTGTGAAACATGGTGGAACGATTAAAAATAAACAGCATTTAGTTTCTTCGAAAAAGTAAAGCTTCTGTAAACAATCTGGTTCATCCTTGTCCTTGGGCACTATCCCCTTCCTCTACACATCAAGAACAAGAGGAAAACAGGGGGAAGGAGAGGGCTGGATAAAGAAATGTAGGGATGGCAATGCAACAACAGTGGGGTACTGTTAAACCAGATCCGCTGCAGAGCATGCAGATCTCCCAGCCTTAAGAGAAACAGAGGATAGGTTGAAAGATGGAGGAACGAAAGTGGATTTGAAGGAATTATTGATGCACAGGGGAGGGTGAAAATAAAAGTTTGGCCAGCCTCTTTGCTTTGTAACCGCACCCTTCAGCTAAATGGGCCTACAGTGTGTCTTTTGCGGGGTTATATGAAGGCTTTTGAGGTTAATGCTTTAGTCTTTGGTCTACTGTGATGTCCTAGTGGGATTCTGCATCACATATCGATCATCACTTTCTCTTCTTTTAGTGTTTTAATGACTAGAGTTACCTAATAATAAAGCTTCAGTGTGCAGATTGCCAATACCATCATTATGAGTTATCCTTAACATTTTGGAGTACCTTTTAGGGGTCATGATTGAAAGTGGGGAACTTTATATTTGCTGCTTGATTTATCATGTGCTTACTGGTGACAGTCTATGTGACTAATTATTGCATAATTGTATTGATTTAATTTACCACTGACAACATGTGATATTTTAGGCTCATATTCCTCTTAAAGATGCTGTCTTTTTAAAAACAACTTTAAGCTCATAAGTTACAGTACCAAAACATCTTTTCCATGTAAATTCCAGCTTACAGTAGCTTTCTACAGCTTGAACTGAAATGTAGTTTTGTTTTGTTATTTTATTTCCAACCTTAAACTGTTGTGTTTGCGGCTCCCGAAATTCCAACAACCACTTGTATGCAGCTGGCTTGGCTCAGTGCCAGGCTTATTGCGAATATGCTGTGCTAGCTGCGTTAGCATTTCAAAAAATGTTAATGCAAAGGACTGTGCTGTATTAAGCTCTGGTAGCTAACACACTGTGCTAGTTGTGTTTGCAAGCCTCTCTATGATCTGAGAGCTGTGTTACATTGCCAGTCTGCTGGTTTCTTGATCTGAAGGATTTACTGCTAGACTCACCACATCCCATATTATTCAGGACATATCTCTCCTCTTTTCTTAGGAAAGGGAAGAGGAGGGAGGCGGCACAATGAGGATACGGCTAGTGGGGGATTAAAGGTGGGCACTTGTCCCACTGGTGTTTTCAGGAATATTTTATTTTCTTTCTTTCTCTTTCACCTACTCTTTTTTGTTTAGTATTTTGTAATTTTAATTTGGCTGCTAAATATTCATGCAGTGTTTTGTCCGTGACAGCCTCACAATCTCCTGGGCTTTCTCGCTGTGTGACGAAGACTAGCTATTCTCTCTATTTGTCTCTTTCTGTCTCTCTGTGTTTCCTTCAGTCAGACTCGCTCTCACTCTGTGTGTAAAGGCCTTGATGAGGTTCTAACTGCTTTTCTTCTATATGATTTCCTTGTCATGTGAAAGCCAGTTAAAAACACTCATATACAGTATGTGCATATATAAATATATAGCATATAGCAGATGCAGTATGGGGAAGATAACATCAAAACAGAGACTTGAAAGATTTTTGTGTTCAATTTAAGTGACAAGGTGTTAGAATATGCCATTATCAGGTTTCCCTCGGGGCTATCCCAGCTTCGGTCTACCGGTGTTGAAACTCCTTCACCTCTTCCAGCCTGACAGTAATACAAACACATATACACATTCATAATTTTTATTTGCCTCCATCAATTGTCCAACTGTACCTATCAGGAACTTTGTCTACAGAGGGCAGTGTGCGGACTTCAATTCAAGCCAATCATGCCAGTTTTGAAGAGAGTATTTATTTATTTATTTAGCACTATGGATTTTATTTAGGTGCATTGTCCATATAAAGTATTCTACTACAGGCTGTTTGGCTTTTTTTTCTCCAAATGCACTCAAACTACTCCCCACTCACAGTCATGCACTTCACAGGGGTACCATATAAATATACACATGGGATTTAAAGCAGCCACTATACATTTCTTACTTGTTATTGCTGTGTTTTTGTGCTTGCTCACACATAAGCATGCACACAAACACAGACACACATACATACATATGCACAACGTCTACTTAATTGAGGAGAAAGTGGTCCAGCGGGACGGGGAGGGGAGGTGTGTGCGCATGAGCAGGCGAGTGGAGAGTGGAGCCTTGCGGGATGAACCGTTTGACACATGAGAAGACCCAGAGAAAACAAGCTGTCTGTGGGTTAATTACTACTCCCCTTTGCAGTTAATAAATACATTTCTGATCAAGCACATCAAAAAGGCCCACCATTAATTTCTCCTGCTCGCTCCCCTTGCTCCGGAGCATGTTAGCCCCTGTTTGGAGCGCTCAAGTGTTTCATTGCAATTTGATTTCTTTTAAAACACTTCACAGTGTGTACTGACTAATTATAGATACATCAAAGAGTAGCTAACTGCCTTTGAATGAGAGCGTGAGAGAGAAAGAGAGGCTTGCGCTGCAGGGGGAAGGCTTGCTCGCTCTTTCTCTGCTTCGCCCCCACTTTTCTTTCGCCCTTTTCCCCTCTCTATCATTCTTTAGCTATCACAGACTCCATCCATCCATCCATCTCAGTTCACTGTTTTGCAGTTCTCTTTTTCTCTCTAGCTCTCCCTTAGAGTCTCTAGTCTCCTCTGACATGTGCTTTCATGCTTGGCCAGCCTGCTTCGCCATGCTCCTCCTTCGCTGTCTCTCTCAGCTGTACAGTTTTAAAGGAAGATGGGTCATGTTCCCCCAATTGTGCTACTTTGTTTTGAACCCAATATTCCTATATTCCCTTCAAAGTCTAAGGGGTTTTAGCCTGGCTGTGTACTATCTTTCTCTCTGCGTCTCTCCATCTCACACACACATAAACTGGCCATGCTCCTCTAGGATCCAGGTCCGCATTATCCTTTCTTCACCTGAGGACAAAATCTCACCCCAGAACCAACCATACAGAGAGTAAAGGAACAAGGGGATAGAACCATACAGAAAGAGTGCCCTGCCTTTCTCTCTCCCTCTGCTCAGCCTGTCTTTTCATCTCTCTTCGTTGCCAGGAGTGCGGGGGGTGGACGTGTAAGTGGTAGTGGTGGTGGTGGTGGTGGCGGTGGTGGCGGTAGTTGTGTTGAGGAAGGGTTGTCTAACCCGTACTAACCTTCCCGCTCACAGAGTGAAAAAGGAGCACTCTTATTGGATAGGACAGGGCAGCATTATATAAGGTCTTATGTAAGAATGCATCTGTCTCCCAGTACACAAATGTGTGGGTGCCAACCAGACAACCAGCCAGCCGCCACAACAGCCCCTCAAAAACATGATTACAGATTTTAGGTGTCCCCTGCCACATACATACAGTACATGCTTGCAGAATATCTTTCTGTACACTTGCTCTATAGTGCCATCTGTTTCAATCTATAACGCTTAAAGCTAGTTTTTCTCTGCCGTCCTTGGTTTCATGTGTGTGTAAGTGTATGTGTGTGTTGTGGCTAGGTGTCAGATGTGGGAAGAGATGCTTGAGGTGAGACAGATAGATATGGAGGATTTTTTTCACTCCTTGTGGACTTCATCACTATACCGGTGTGGAGGATGAGAAAGATGAAACACTGCCGGGTGAATCAGTCTGAGTCGAAGAAGTTAGTTTTACATCGCTCGGAGTTTAGAAAGTGATTGAATTTCCATGCCGTGATATGGCAACCTCAGACTAAATTAGAGCTTTTTATATTGTATGGTATAAAAAGAACAATACACGTATTTCTATAACACTGTGCTTTGTTTATACCAAATTGTATTCACAAGTTGAATAACAAGTAAAGAAAAGTAGGTATTTTTCTGTCTTTTTAAGACTTCCTATTCATTTACCACAGAGAGTTTTCCAAACAGGCTCATTGCCATCTCTCCATTTTTTTAACTTTGTTTGTACAGTCAGTCTTCGTGTTTGTAACTCCTTAACCTTTATAACTACACGTACTGAACCCTTTCACCACAATATTCGCCGTACCAAAAACCACTCTGCCTTGTGTCCTCATTTCCTCATTTCTTCCGTCCCCCAAATTCCCCCTCTCCCAGTCGTGGTGACCCTCAGGGCAGTGGCAGTGCCAACTATGCCCTCTGTGCAGGACTCTTGGTCTGGCAGTGGTCTGTACAGCTCCATGACTGGCATGGTAACAGCCCACTGAACACATGGCTGTGAAAAGACTTCTGTTTCCTGTCTTCACCCTTTTGACAACATGCCTCTGGAAAATCACAAAAATGTACATATGTAAATATTAAAACTAGAAATATTAGTACCTGGTCCCCATTCTTACTTATACCACTTTAAATATCTATATCTGGTCTTTTTGACACACATGTAGAGCGCAGGCATACACATTCATAGCTGTATTCATGCTCTGTAACCACTTACAGCTTTTTTTCTTCAGTGTCATGTAATGTTTATTTTCAGCTTCAGTGGTTTTAAGGAATACTCAGATGTTTTAGGAAATATGCTTTTTTTCTTTTTATTTTCTTCTTGTGTATTTAACATGTGTAGAAATAGGAAATTAGACATTGTGGTTTAAGATGCTTAAAGTGGTTTTAATTAGCTTTTGAATCAGAGCT